ATATATATATATATATATATATATATGTTTTTTACTCTATAAATTACCCTACATTTGGGTCATTCGAATATACATGTTGTACGTAGGGCTGTCAAAACGGCTCGTTGTTCGCGAACAGCTCGTGTTCGGCTCGTTTGCTAAGTTAACAAGCCAAACACAAACAACATGAATAAATATTTGTTCGTTCGTGTTCCACTCGTATATATTTGATGAGTAGTATTTTTAAAAAAATTAATTGACTACAAAGCTAAAAAGAATTATAATCAATTAAAAGTATTAATGAAGAAAATAGAATAAAAATTATTAATTTAGATTCAAATGATTTTTAAATCTTATCCCAATCCTTAACATCTTTGTTCGTGAACGTCTTGTGTTCGGCTCGCTAAGCAAACGAACCGATCACGAACACACTTTTTGAGCTCGAAATATAAACGAGCCGAACAGAAGTTGAGCGTGGGCTCGCTCGTGTCAGACTCATTTACACTCGTAGCTGTACGTACCTATGTTATTATATTTTCTTATGAAAAAAAAAATAATAATTCTTCAATAGTAAACGTATGGCATCTGTAGATTTGTAATTAGTACTTAACAAAAAAAATAGATAAACCAAGAAAAATCTAATAGGCGGTTAGTCCTTAAATATTTGGTTCTTTTAAGCGATGATTTGGCTTGTGAAAAATAGACGTATGAAAAAAAAAAAGTATTTTAAAATGCAATATGTTAGTTATTTAATTAGAACTGAATTAAATTTTGAATATTACATTTTATATTTAATTTTTTTTAAAAAAAATATGATACTGGAACCAACACATGCCGATAGATAGTGATAGTAAGGCCGATAATGTACAACAGGTGGCTAACAACATCGACAATAAGTGGCTAGTGAAATTAGCCACGACACGGGCGGCGGATGATAGCGGTGGGCAGCGCGGCTGTTAACGATGTTGAGGGCAAGCGATTAATGGTTTATGGCAATGGCTAAAGTTTTCGGGGTATTCAAATCTCAATAAAATTGGAGAGACTTGAAATCCACCACAAATGGTCGATACGAATGAGCCTAAAATTTTCTTAATTTTTTGCTCTCTATTTTTCGTAAGAATCAAACTCATGTCAAAGAGGTTTTGCGACTAACAAGATAACTACTTTCTAACTTATCACCCATGAGGCAAGAGCGCATGTAACATAGAGTTATATTTATTATGATGGGTAACTTAATAATAAATATGTATGTCAAATAAATTCGTGTAAGGTGGCCGACTTTTAGATTATTAATTTGATACCACTGATTGAGTAGGACAATCATTGCCATTTTAAAAACTTCAAATTCCTCACACACAAAAACTATGCTGCACACGCGCATGATAGCTGTTTGAAAGCAATAAAGCGTTTACTATTAACGTGACGACTGAGTATTTGTTCAAAACAAAATTGTAAAATTGCAAAAATATTTTTTAATAAGTTATAATAAAAATATAAATATATATAAACTTAGCTAATGAATTTTTTAGGGCCACTATATTTTAATTGATCAGGCTGAAAAAAATTAGCTTCTCCTCACTAAATTTTTGAGAAACAAGTAATTTCTCCGAATGAAGTTGTGGTGACGATTTGAATCGTTAAGTAGATAGAAAAGTATCACAAACAGATTCTGTGGAGTTTTAAGAACTTTATAAAGTTGATAGTTATTAATTATGTTATCACATTAGTTTTAATATTGATGTGGGCTAAATATTTTGCGACGGTGGAGTAGTGTATTATCGTCTACGCGTGGTATGAAGATTCGACGAACATTTAGGAGAGGTAAAATAACTTGTAGTGACATTAGAAGTTTTTATGTGGAAATCCTATAAAAAGAAAAAAACTACAGGGTGTAGCCCAGCTGAAGAAATCCACTATAAACTGAATATTACATGTATAGTTCATTGTCCCGCGGGTGGGAAATGGTTGAGCACTCGTCGGAGTTACAACATTGGCGCACGAATGAATTTGTTGTAAGAAGTGTGCGGCAGTCGATGGTGATCGGTGGCAACCGTAGGTAGTGGTCGGTGGGGATTAACGACGATCAATGGCGGTTGGCGGTGGTTGACGGTAGTTGACGACGGCAGGAGCTGTGCTAAACTTCAGCTCATTCTCCAAGCTTCAAACTCATTTTCGAGCTTCAAACTCCTTTTTTTCTCATGAGAGAATATTAACTACAAGATTAATCTAAACATTTGAGTGTCATGATGATGTTTTGGGTACAATTAATACAAGAATATTAACTATTTTGATCAGATTGTTCGGAGAATTTGCTTTGATATGACGCTGTTTGATAAGCATTTGAGTGTCATGATGATGTTTGAATTAAGCGATCTTGGGCTCGTTGGATTCAACTTGTCGAGACGCTCAATTCTACTATGAAATCGTCGGATTTGACATCTGTCTAACCATACAAATGCATCCAGAAAACTTCCAAATAAGGTCTAAAGTCTTAATCGGGACTTGATTTAACTTAAATTTGACCAAATTTGGTACCATTGGGTCCGTTTCGTCGAATCAGTCAGCTTGACTATAAGTTCGCTGAAATAAAATTTCCAGATGATTTTTTATCAAATTTTGAGTGTTTCTTGCTCAAAAGATTGCCTCAAGATCCATATCACACCTTGAGATTTCTGTGGGATGATGAAAATTTGTTGGTGGCGCGTCAAATATTATGATTAATTTAATACAAGGCACCTCCGACATCTTTGATTGGGCCTAGGAATGTGCCAAACTTAGTGATAATAAAATTCGGGGAAAAGTTTGGTTATATAATATTCTAGTAAGATTTTGATCAAAGTACGTCTAATAGCTATTAAATTTATGTTGAAATGGGTTTTATAAACATGCCTTTAATCAATCAAATAATTTTTCTTCCAACAATTTTAAATTCATTGTGATTTAAGAATAAAATATTTTATTTTACAATTTTTAATTAATTTTGCTTTGATTAATCTTGTCCACCCAAAGATCTAATAGTCGATAACACAAAAAAGACTTTGGATTGTATTTTTCATGAATTCCTAGAAATAAGACACATATCGAAAGATGAATTTTGTAAATCAATGCAGGTTATCCGGAGCAAGAACAATCAGACGATAGCGATGGACCGAATAGAGGCAATCGGGCAAACAAACAACCATAAACCGACCTCTTAAGGGTCGGCCGACCTAGAAGTAATTTGCTAATCAAAAGCCAACCGATTCTTTCTCTATTGTTTATGTTTGATTTGTTGGGTGTGATTCAAGGACAAATGTGACTTCAATTTGTCCATATTATTTGTGCTGGACACAACAAAGCCATGGAAATATTAACCTGATTGCATGAAATTAGATATGCTGATACAAAAAAATATAAGCAGGTACAGATTTCTAGTCAATACTGCACAGGAGTAGACCTTGCATTTTAAATGAAATTGACTATTTTATGTAAAACTAATATTTTATTCAGCTAGAAAAATAAAAAAACCGCAGCTAATCTAAAATTCAAATGAATAAAATATGATTCTGTAGCTACTGCGTTCCATTGATGCGGTAAGCGTGGTAACACCTCGCACATTTGGTAGGTTGGAAAGTGTGTTCAATTCAAGATTTACTGCATGCCACACGATTCTTTATGTATTTACCTTCCTAACTCCTAAATTTTAATTTTTTTACTTGATGAGGTAGGAAGAAGAAAGTTCAATATGACTCATATCCACCGCCACAAAATGATACCCTTCCCATGCAAAAATTTTACTGTGCGGACTCCGGACGTAAATCTACGCGCAGATCAAGTTATTTCTAAGTTATTTTCAGGTTATTTCTGGATTATTTTTAATAATACCAAAATAACCAAGATAATACAAAAATAACCAAGAAATAACCCAAAAATAAAAACCGCGGGTTATTTCTGGGTTATTTTGACATTATTGAAAATAACCCAGAAATAACCTGAAAATAACTTAAGAATAACTTATGTCGCACGTAGAGCTACGTCAGGAGTCCGGACAAAAAAGAGCTCCTTCCCATGGGATTGGCCACCCCATATATATATATATATATATATATATACAAATCTCAATGAATTTTTTTTAACAATAAATATTCCAAATTTAAATTCACGATTTTCCAGAGCCCTCGTTTTAACAACTTTATAAGCAAGTTGATCGTTTCGACAAAACGAACCAAATAATACCAAATTGGTTAGATATGAATTCAATCAGGTTCAAATCAAATCATTAAACACTTTTGAAGATTTTGATCATCTATTAAATTGTCAAATGAACTCCAAATTTGATATATTTATATTGAAATCCAACTATGGTTTACATGACCAACTATATCCTTCTTGGTTAATTGTTATTGCAATTTCCAACTACAATTTTTGCGACCAACCGACACCACTGCAACTACCAAATATGACATATGTGACTAATTGCTACTGCACTTTTCAATCACGACATCTGTGGCCAACTGACATTACCGTAGCTACAAAGTACTGATTATGAGACTAAATATGACTTATATGGCTAACTGCTACTGCAACTTCCAACTAAGACCTAAATGGTCAATTGACGCTATTGCAACTATCAACTATAGTCTATGTGAACAAATACAACTTATATGGCTAAATGCTATTGCAACCAACCACAACCTATGCAGCTAGCTACTTCTACAACTTGACATTATGGTTTTTATGGCTAATCAACGCTCTTGTAGCTACCAACTACGACCCATGTGATCAACTACGACCTATTTGACCAGTTATCAATATAACTACCAACAACAGATTATATGACTTACTATTATTGCAACTACCAATTATGACTTATGTGGCCAAACACTAATGTAACTTCCCACTACGGCCTTTGTGACCGACTAATGTTATTGCAACTATCAACTATAGTTTATGTGACCAACTATTACATATATGATCAATTACTACTGTTGCTTTCCACTATGACCTTTTTGACTAACTGACACTATTGCAGCTACCAAGTACGACATAAGTAGCCAATTATTACTGTAGCTTCCCATAACAATCTTTGTGGCCAATTGATGTTATTGCAATCACTAACTACGATCCATGTGATCGGCTGGTGCTATTGCAGCTTTTATGGCCAACCACTCTACTACAAACATCGTCTAAGACCATTATTGCAACCACCAACTACAACTTTTACGATAAACTACTATCTTTGTAGCAATCAAATATGTCTTTGCGACCAACTATTACTATTACAATCAATAACTACATTTGTTGTAGCCCAATTATGACTTTTATAGCTAAACTATTATTGTAAATATGTAATTCTTAACATTGTAATTCCATTTTCTCTAATTTAGAAAAAGAGTGTACTCATGCACTTACAATCATATAGTGAATTATTTGACTAAGCTAGACCTCGTTATCCTTTTTCATTTCCAGGATTTTCCACGTAAAAAAAATATTTGTATTTCCTCAAGCTACTATTCTATCATCCGTGTGTGTGTTAGATTCTCTTGCAATGCTAAAAACTTAAATATCACTATATATATAATTGGATACTAATCAAGTAAATCAAGGCTCAACTCGATAGGTGGACAAGATCAATCCTAAAGTTACAAATTGACTTTGAGACCATCTAATTAAGGAATTCACCTCAGGATATTCCATCTAATCAAAGCTTCAAGTCACAATATATTTATTTGAGCTTCACATAAAAGGAATAAAAGATATATTGTAGAGAAAAAAAATGTTGATCCACTATTACCATGCAATTGGACAATGATGGCTAGCAAATGCATAAAATATGAATAGCAGTTTACCTACAACCATCCCGCATTGATGACTAAGCACGTAATTTCTTTTTTTTACTGAACTGAGAGGTGAAATTAAATTGAGTAAGAATAAAAAAGCTTAGAAAGACTTGAAATAAAAATAAATCAATCAATCAATTGTAATTTTATCTAAGATTCACTTACGTTTACGATATCTAACTTACAACTGAGCATGTGGTGTCCGATCTATATCTTCGATTATCGATCTCCGCGTCTGATCAATTTTTTTTTTTAAATATGGGCCTACCGAAATACATATTTACGGTGATCAACGGTGTAGATCGGACAACATGCATCTGTGCATGCGATGTCCGTATGCAATAATTTTTCGTTTACGTAAGCCCATGTTAATTTCAGTGTTTATAAAAATGCTAAATTAATTCTCAATTTTATTTTAATCTGACAAAAATAATAATTTTTTTGGGCTATCTCGACGTGCATTAAATACTATTCACGTGAGGTCGTTTTAATACTTGAATTTATAGAAGGGGTAAAATTGTTCCTGATTATTTTAAAATTGAGGTTTAATTGTTCTATCTGAGGACTATTTCAACCACAATTTAAATGGTGGGATTATTTCGACACAAACTTTTAGGACTAAAATGATCATATATAAATAATCTGAAACTATTTCGACACTTTGCTCCTCTTAAAACTAAGAGATAATTTTAGCACCTTTTTATTCAAATAAGAGTTTATAATTTATATGAAACCTTTAAAATTTTCAATAGCATCATTATATTTTATGCTCAAATATGTAATCACATTAATTTAAAATAAAATAATAAAGTTTATGATGTCCAATAAAGCAATAAGCTGTGAGGGCTAATTTAAATTAAGTAGGCTCATGTCCAAATCTCTCTCTCTCTCTCTCTCTCTCTCTCTCTCCCTCCCTCTCTATATAAGAAATTGATTAAACTTTTGATCAGTTTTTTAGTCATTACAGTCCATCGCCATGCACCATCTAAGCCAAATGACTTGTGAACTAGCTTGGACTCAGCTGGATAAGCAACTCAAGAGCTAAACTCCATGAGCTAATAAACCAAACTCAAGCCAACCTCAACTCAGACTTGTGAATTTGTCAATTTGCTCATTTTTTTTTTCAAAAAATATTAATATAAATATACTCAAAATATATTATTTTAAGACTTTATTTATAAATTAGTAAAAATATTCAAAATTTTATATTTATATTTTATATTAAAAAATTTCTTATTATTTATCTACTAATTGCACGTTATATTTATCATTTTATGACCCATTTTCATAAATATAGACACACTGTTTTAAATATATACAAGTCTTCCTATTAAGTTTTGTCACATATTTCAAAATATAAAAATCATTGGAAAAAACAACATAAAAGAAATTAAAAAGCTAAAAGATGATATTGTAATTTTTATAACCTTTGAGAGGGGGGATTATTGCGTGCGGACACCGCATGCATCTCTGCATGCGGTGTTCGATCCTGGCCGTAGATCACGGTGATCTACGGTCAGGATTATTTCCGTTTTTAAAAAAAAAAAATAAAAAATTTTAGGTGGGGCCCACCGAAATACATCAGGACCGTAAATCATGTGATTTACGGTCCGGATCGGCGTCCGCGGCTGCGTGCGGACGCCGATCCGCATGGAATAATTTTTCCTTTGAGAGAGGCATTGGTTCCCATGTTGTCATTCTTCACTCCATCAATACAGAAATAGTCATCATTAGCTGATCTGCTTCACATTTTCCTCACCTGGAAAAGCTAAAAACAGCAAGCAAACAGAATTAGAAGAAGAATGTTACCCAAAATAGCTGCATTGGACTCTATCTGCTATTATAATAACAGCCGGTGTTGCGTTAAGCTTTACAGAACCTAGTTCAGTGTCCCACAACAATGGCAGCTATTAGCTATACCGCCGCGTTGCGTAATCGGTCACACGAAGAGGAAAAACAAGGACGATTCACATACATACTCAATTCTCATGTATTTACATAGCTAACACATAAAGTCCATTAAAAGCTGTATTTTAGTTTCAAAAGGTCAAGATAGTTGTATTTTTGATACGATATGAATGATTTGGGCATTATAAATGTAAAAGATGAAGTTTTGGGTGATAGATATGTAAATACATAAGAATTGGGTGATATGCATGTAAATGCCAAAAAAAAAACGATTCAAGAAAAAGCTGAAGAGACAAACAATTCATGTTAATTAATTTCATCAACCACCGCAGAATGTTGTATCAGACACTAACAAGCCTGTAAAAAATGCTAATGCCAATCTCTGCAGCTCATTTTTGTTTATTTTCTGGTTAGAATAACAGCTGGAGTTTTTAAGGAGATCCAAACCCAAGTGATCTGAAGTCTAAAACAGAGACCACCATGTCCTGTTCCTACTGGCATGAGCCATTCTACCATGAGACCCACGAGATTGCTGAGCATCACGATCGCCAATGCCACAATGAATCCTTCCCCCAGCTATGGAATTCCGCACCCATGTTACGATAGCGATACCGACAATAGTCACAATCGGAGCTGCGGCAATTAAAAGCCATCGTCGATTGCCACCATGGTTCGACCCGCCTTCGTCTTCATCATTGCCATCCATGTCAGATTGATTTTCGATATGGTGACGATGCTCATCAGCTTCGTCTCCCAAAGCACTTGATTCATCAGAATAGCTTTCATCAACCTGCACCCGATGCCGCATTTCATCAAAAACATTTCGCACGTTGTTATGCTTTCCCTCCTCATACTCGGAGTCATCAGTTGGAAGTTCATACCGACAAACAGGACAGGAGTTTCTAGTTCTTAACCATGGCAAGATACAGGAGGGGTGATACAGATGCGAGCACGGAAGCTGCCTAGCTTCGGCATCAATAGACAGAGGATCTTTGCAAACTGCACAGATTAAAGTGCCATTTTTCTCATGATCCTTTGAAATGATCACACGAGGCAGGTTGCGCAGAGAAGAAGCTGCGGCTGGAGGAGCTCCTCTCCTTGAGCTATCGGCTTCTGCGAGTTGTTCGAGAAGCTCCTCAAAGCCTTGTGCATCCATATAGTCGCCTAAATTCCCAGTAAAAGGAGAAAGGTCTATTTCGTCTATATCGGTGAAGAGATCGACGGGATTTATTTGCCAACGAATCAAGGTACTGTTTTGGGGGCTCGTGGTACTTCCATCTAAACTGTTAGTCTCGTGGATACGTCCATGGGGCTCCATAAGCTGCATGGAAGTTTCCATTACACTAACCTCCTCCCATGCTCCATAATCAGCCTGGTCATCTGAAGTCCATTGGTCTAGACCAGCATGCATAGGATCAATGTCTGTGTCGGTGTGCATACGGCTTTCGTTATCTAGAGGGCTTGGTGTTTCCCTATCAATTATACTATGCACATCAACGGAAGCATCGGAATCGCCTCCGTAAGCACTGAAACTTACATGCGAGTCGGTTTCACCGAACATGGAGTCCATGCGCTCGATACTATCGTTATCAGTATCAGAATTCATTCTACGTCCCCTTCTTGACAAGTTCCTGTAAGTGTAACTTGGATGATGATGGATGCCAGCCGTTGTGTCCTCGTCTTGTTGTGGATCCCGATTTTGCCTTGCCAAACCGATCAGGTGAGAGAACTGCTGTGAGAACACACTTTCCACTGATTCTGAACTCCCATACCTTGATCTTCTTCTCCTTTGCCTTCCCCAAGGATTTCGAGAAGTCAAGCTTATGCCATTATCATCCAAAACCAAGGATTTGCAGTCTCTGCATATGCCTGAATGATCTAGTCCTTCATTTATTTCAATCCATGGAATGAAAGTTCTTCTGCATACCATGCATTGCATCTCCAGAAGTTCAGAGTGATGAACTGCACCTCTGTTCTCTTGCAGATCTTCTAATGAAATCGTATATCCATGAGATAATTCATGTGATTCAGCATCCATCTACAAATTAGAAGGAGATGAGAGAAAATAAGATAAAACATTTTAACCTATGTGGAGAAAATAGAGTCCGCCAAGTGCCATTAACTCCCTAAAGACTGACTTACAGCGATGGTTGAACCTGGAAAAGATACGGAGCAGGAAGCTGTATGTGGATGTTGCAGACCTAGCAAACCAAAAGAGAGAATTTAAAAATGGAAATTACAGAAATATTGGGCTAGGAGTTAAAAATAAAATTTGCATTAAAAAAGTTAAGCTTGTATCTGATCTAAATTCAGGTCTCAAGCAAAAGTGTTGTGTAATATCATCAAGTTGTATTTAAAACACTCAAGTTTACTAAAAATATCTAGTATTTATTATAACTATGTACAAAAATTGTGTGCGCAAATGATGTGTTAAATTCTAAATAAGCATGCTATGAATACATTCTAACTGTTTATGAAATGCATGAGAAGCATCCCCTATGTTTTGCATGATTGATGGGTATCTTCAATTACTATTATGGATTTGTAAATGCAATCGCCAGGTTGTCACTATTGGATCAAAGGATCCTGTTAAGCTGCGGAGCCTGAAGCACCCACAGCGAGAGCTGCAGCACAAAGTGGAAAAGCCTGCACTGGACTTAGTGTAGCCATGCCTGAAACAGGCTTAGCTATGCCGGCGGCGTAACCACGCCAAAATGGGTGTGGCTACGCCACCGAGGGTCGCTCGTTTTGTGCCTTTTCCTAAGAGGGAGAAATAATTACGCCCATACACGGCGTGACCATGCCACCAGGCGGTTAATTCTGGAATAATTCTTAAATTTGTGATTTTGAGCGATGAAGCAGACACACTCTCATGCGGTTCTTCCAACAAAAATCTTGTGAAGGAGAAAAGTGTTAGAAAGAATGATTTCAACGTGTTTTTTTTTTATTTTTCTTGTGAGAATGAGAGGAAAGGTATGGAAAAAAGTTCCATATTCAAAGTTAAATCCTAGTGTGTTTTTCATAATTTTATTTTTGTTGTTGTGCTTACGTTAGAATATTTTGTTCCGGTTTTTCTAGAATCAGTGTGATCTTATTCCGTGATGTGGTTTTGATTTCTAACCGGATCGAAGCCCAGTAGAAGTATAAGATTTTCATTCCAACAAGTGGTATGAGAACAGAGTTTTTTGATTCAAGTGAGACTAATGACCGATGAAGCAAGGTACAAAAAAGAAAAGTATAGTGAGACGAACTTTGCCTTTTAGAGGATGCAAGTGACGGATTTGTAAAATCAGAAAAAAATATATTTGCCACTATAAAGTATCAACAAGCAGCCTAAGTCAATGATCATGGAGAAATGAGAGGTGTTGGTTCGAACAACTCTATGTTTGATCCATTTATTACTTTCCTCGTCTGTTGCATTCAATATAATAAATTAAAAAATTACAATGGATCTCACGACGACACTAACAAAAATGTACAAAAATTTTTTGCTTCAAATAAAGTTTTTTTGATGAAAAGGATATTCAATATGAATATGAAGGAAGACAGTTTGGTCGCAGAACATCTAAACAATTTCAACAATATAACTCGTCAGTTGTGTTCTATAAGGATCAGGTTTGATGACAAGGATAGGGTATTATTGATACTATCTTCATTGTTGAACGACAGATGATTTGATCATGGTAATAAGTAACTCTTCTGGGAATATAAAGTTGAACTTCGATGATATCGTAAGGTTGATGTTGAATGAAAATGTTAGCAAAAAGTCAGCAAACAGTTAATTTTAAGGTTCTGCGTTGATTACGGAAAATAGATGAAGGAATTTGGATATGAATACGGGCAGAGATAGATTCAAGTCCAGAAATAGAATGTCTAGTTCAAGAGACGAAATGACAAGGAGAATATTGAAATTACGGAAATAAAGGGCATTTTAAGAAGAACTACAAAGCTTCAAGGAAATCTAGTGGTGGAGGACAAAAAAAGAATATCTCTACAAATATCTGCAACAACGAATACCAATGTGACTCCCTGGTGTTATCTCTAATCAACGTTGAATCTTGGATAGTAAATTTAGGTCTCTTTTCACCACGCCTCATTAAAGATGTGTTGATCTAGGAAAGTTTATCTGAGAAACAATAAGGCCTGCAATATCGTAGAAAATAGTGATTTGGATATTAAGTTGTCAAATGAAACAGCCTGAAAGCTTAAGAAGTTAGACATGTTCCAAGTCTGAAAAGAAATCTCATCTCTGAAACAGTCTGGAAGCATATTTAAGGTTCCACGCTCTTATGGGGCGCTTAAGCTCCCATGGTTGGCGCCTATGTGCCAGCCTTAATTGCTGCTTGTAATGCTTTGACTTCACAATACATAGCACACAACATAGAATCTTGCGAACGTGTTGATGAAGATGGTGGTTATCAAGAAACTGGAGTTATGTTTGTTTTAAGTTGGAGTCCATAATAATTGAGACCGAATGTGAGCCACACCATGATACATGACTATGAAGATGTAAAAACGAAGATGCAAATTTAGTGATAGGTGTTTGGTGCTATCATGTTCCAAGTGAAAAATTTTCATGTTGTGGGCCTGAAGCACCCACAGCCAAAAAAAGCCCACGACAGCCTGCAACACAGCCACAAAGTATGCACTGGACTTGGCGTAGCTATGCACGAAATAGACGGAGCTACACTGATGGCATAACTACGCCGAAATGGGCGTGACCACACTGCCAAGGGTTGTCATTTCGTTTGTCTTCTCGATCGGGAGAAATAATTACGCCCACACGCAGCAAGACCATGCCGCCAAAAGGTTAGTCCTGAAACAATTCTTAATTTATGATTTCAAGCAATTTGAAATAGACTCTCTCGCGTGTGATTCTTTCAACCAAAGTCTTGTGAAGGAGACAAATATCGGAGAGGAGGATTTCAACGTGTTTTTTATCTTGTGTGATAGAGAGGAAGATTTCAGAGCAAAAGTCTATAAGATCCATCTATTGTAGAGAGAAGATTTGAGAGCGTATTATGTACTTTTCTGAATTTCATACTTCATGATTTTTTTCCCATTCATGGGTTTTTTCTATGTTAAATCTTGGTCTGTTTTTTTTAGCATTTTTTTTTTGGTGCTTCAATTCGAATATTTTATTCCAGTTTTTTTCGAATCAATGTGGTTTTATTCCGCGATGTTGTTTTGATTTCTAATTAAATCGAAGCCTTTCTAGAGACATAAAATTTCCATCGCAATAGATCCCACTGAAGCAAACAGGCTCATACTAGAATCGAAGGGTTCACTAAGAAGCATCAACCATGTTTTGCAAATGCATTCTGATAGTATATTGAAATTATTCAAAAGGCATTGTTTGATTATTACGATGAGTTATTATTATCACCATTCATGCAAATCTCAGTGACACATCCCTACCTTGTTTCACAAGTGGCATTAATTATTATTTTTCATGATAACATGTGTTTGTCTTATAAATTTATTAATTGACTATTGAGCATATCATAAGCTTGCACAATCAACTGAGTTTACTACGTGCTGTGCTATACTTTCTTTTTCAAAAAGGGTGTTCTTTTGTGAAATCATTGAAGATTAAAAAAGAAATTAAAATGGCAAGCATTTATAGTAATTATTTACGAATTAGATGTCGGTGGGTGAATGGTGATTTTCTGTGATTTCCTTGTTGATATATGATGTATTTAAGTGACTTGATGACCTCCTCAGGTGATCCATGTAATAGTAAGATTTTTATTCTTTGCTTAGCAGATAATTTATATGAATGTTCAGGTTTAAGGTTGTGCTTATTTCTTTGATGGTATTAATGGTATATATAATTGCTCAAACGATATGCATGCATTGCAAATTTATAAGACACCCAACCAAACTATTATATATATATATATATATATATATTAAATCAGTCATGCAGCTGTATGTTCTAGGCCTTGAACTCAAAACCTAATAGTTGTAAATAAAGCTTTCAATCTCTAGGCCGACCCAAACCATTAAACTGTTGAAATTAACCAGCGATGTTTTTGGTGGGTGGGGAATGGCCGAAAATTGGATATTATTGTATAAAATAAAATTTTCAAATACAAAATCTCAGAAATGGGGGGCTAAATTTTCTATGAAATATGAAAGATGCTTAGAAATTTACATGCCACAGCTCTACCCATATGCAAAATAATATCCTAATTACATCGTAAATGAGAAAGTATCTTTCATATATTGTGAAAACGATTATAACTAATATAACACAAAATAAATTGTTCGCTTACCATTAAACATTTCCAATATAAACATGATAATTGGCCTATTTCATCAGATACAAAACATCTATGAGTCTTGGCTTATAAAAAGGAGCAATCTATCAATGATAGCTCCTTCACTTTGCAAATTATATGAAAAGGATGACTTTTATCACCCATGCTCACCAATTCTGTTTTGATGAATCGGATAAGTAAAACAGCAACAATAATAATCATTGCTAATTGAAACATCTCTAACATATACAAGCGAATGAAATATATAATTTGAAAAACGTTCATCTTACTAAATCCCATTGCTAAAGATCTTAATGTCCAGGAATCTCAGATTCAATCATACAAATGCACCATCCTGTCCTCCCACATAAACACGAGGGGGGGGCGTGTTTTTTTATCTTGTAGTTCCATGTTAGAAAATTGGATATTATTGTATAAAACAAATGTCAATGAACTATCATGATTAATCAAAATGAAATAATAAAAGGGATGTATCAACATAAGCATATCATAATCAATCTGAATAAAGCAGGGGTAACTTAAACTTACTCTATTAATCCTAATTAATTTATCCTCTAAACCTTTTCATGGATTGCGTTAATTTTCCCATATTTATAAATGTCTCATCAACGAGAATTATGTAATGTGCAAAAGCATAAATCAACTTACCTCAAATTAAATATCCTTTGCAAGTATCTCCATAGGAAAAACTATTGACTTTAAGTTAATCATTGATTTATAGAAATTAAGAACTCTTTGAGGGACTCACAAAAGTTAGTAAATATGCATTGTTAAAAGCTTCAACAAGCTTCTGACATGTGTTTTTTGATGTGCATTAAATTACTTCTTGTGGCACTTGATTAGTCATTCATGTGCCATCTCAAATCATTAAAAAATCCGTTTTCTGTTTTCTGCTTTCTATATTTTCAGTAATTAGCTTAATTCCAAAATTGTCTTCATAAATAAACCTTGTTGGTAAAAAAAAAAAAAACCAATGAATCTCTTGCAACAATATAATTTTTAATTATTTACATATCTAGGTTGATTGATCTCTTCTAGAAGTTCATTATCTGACTCAAAAGTTAGATTCCTTTATAATGACTAGCACTTTAATTATCTAATTTAAGGTGAGGTATTTTGAAACTTCAAAATACAAAAAGTGAATCGCTAAGCATATGATTGAAATCCATGGAACTACAACTCAAAATTTTATTTATCAACATCGAAACTACATGTCTTCGGGCACTATTTATAACAATATGATCTTGTTCAAAATAATAAAATTACCCTGGAACAAATAAAAAAAATGCCAATTTGTCTCGAATGAAAAATGACACTTTAAACACTAATAATTAGTTTGAAAGTAATTAATAACAAATATAACATGAAACATGGTACAAATCATGGAAAATTTATTCAAGAACGCTATGATTGCATCTAAGAGTAAGCTTTATGTACCAAAACGCATGGTCCTTAAAATTTCATTGAAAATATTTGTCAATCCAACCATTGCAACTGCATCTATAGTTTTCTAAATTTCACTAAGCATCTCATCAAGCCTAAAGGGTTATCATTATACAATTTCTTCGAAGATAATGCCGATTCACTATCATGGGACAATCTACAATATACTTCATTAACGTATTCATCGTGCACTTTCAAAAGAATTTCTTCGTTAAATATCTAATCATAACAATTACTCAAAGTAGCATTTTAATATTTTATTTATAGCTTCACATATAACCAAGATCATGTTTCAGCATACCTAATTTCTTCGTATTGGTTATGAATATGCTTATGAAGAATGTTCAAAGTGAGATGCATCAGTTCCTGCTTTTAGCGTATGACATACTTCTAATCACGTTTAACACATCTAAAATAATAAAAAATAGTAAGATCTCTTATCACTTGTATTAACCAGTTTCAATGTCTCATTTTCCATTTATTTAACATCCAATCTGACGAATAAATAATTTAAATTTGTACATAATTAGGCCACAATTCATGAAAACAAAATGCAGATAATTTAATTGGAGGCAATTTTAGGCGTTACATCCATTTACAACGACAAAGAAACTTCCCAATCTAGCTACCCAAGAAACCCAAACACATAAATCCACAAGAAACATGTAACCTCCTCCCTTACCATGCCAACCATCCAATCAATATACACTCCAGATAATCTCAACTATAATTACGCATAATTAATCAACTCAGAAAAACCTACCCCAACAAATTCAGTAATAAAAAGATCAAGGAAGTGTATGGAAACCCCTAAACTCCGGCGAGCTCCTCAGCTAACAAGATTCTTTCCATTGACTTCCTTAACGAATAAATCGGAGGAGAACATGAGGATAATGGTGAGAAGGAACGAAGGTAAGAATAACGAATAGGTAAAAGAAGGTCCGCACCGGATTGCACAATCTAGAGTTACCTTAGACTCCGCTTCCACGTAGCTCTTGTCTGCGAGAGCTCCCTCGTCGTCGTCTTCCTCTCGGGCTGCCTTCCCTCTTCTGGTTTCCAGTTCCTCCAGAACTGGTTACCGGTTTAAGATGTTCGGTGGTCGGCCCACCCGATGGGTACGGGCCCAATCGGTTCGGGCGAGGAAAATTTTTATTTATAATTAATTATGTAAAATTAATTTATTTCGAGATGGTGCAATATAATTGCATATTATGCTTATTTTTAAATAAATTAAATGATTATAACTTATTTATATTATATTATTTTTATCCAGATTTTTTTTTTCATTTTGAGCTGAATTATTAATCCTCCTGTTTATTTTTTTACAAAATACTAGTTAATATGTAAAGTCTTATTTAACTTAATAAGTATTAGAGAAATTTACATATTTATCCCTTAATTTTGATGTATTTGCATGCAAAGCACTTAAATTTTTATACTTATGAAAATATATTTCACTTTCAAAATGTTAGTAATGAAGGTTTTTTGATGTGTTAAAAATATGAATAATTTGCATGTAAATATTAAAATGGAGGGGTATAAATGTAAATGCTCTTAATTTTTAATGCACTAACTTACGATCAATAACATGGCCATTGATAGATGAGAATCAAAACGGGCCCAAAGAAAGACTTATTTTTTGTCTGACGTTAAATAAAAGAAAATGGAAATGATAAAAATATTTTATTATATTATCTAGTTATATGTAATTAAAATTAGGAAAATTTGCATTCATATCACAAAGTTTTTATATGTTTACATATCTAATATCCAATATTTGATATTTATATTTATAAATAGGGGTGCAAACGAGGCTCGCTCGTGTTCGGCTTGTTTATATTTCGAGCTCAAAGTGTGTTCGTGTTCGGCTCCTAAGCTTTGAC